TTTGGTAGAGAAGATCGGACAGATTTCGCCAAGGCAAGCTGGGCAGTCGCCTATTGCTCCTATTCCAGATAACCCACTGTACCCTGTCTGAAAGGAAGTAACGCTAGAGTAGACTCGCGAAAAGTGTATAAGACACTTTTAAGATCAACTAAATAGCTAAGCCCAAGGGAAGTCGTTCGGGGAGGCCCTCCCTAGTTCCACAAGGGTGAGAAGAGAAAAGAACACGATAACGAAACGTTGAATCACGTAGAAAACGTAGGGTAAATGCGAAGCAAATTAGGAAGAATATGCAGTAAGCTAAGCGAAGAGGTAAGCAAGACATGTTAGACTATTACTACCACTCTTAAAAAAAAAACGGTTAGTTCTATCGTTACTACTAAAAAAATAAAAACAATACTAAAAAATAAAAACATCTACAATAAAAAAATGATTCAAATACAACTATAAAAAACATGCAAAATAAACAATTAATTTTAATTAAAAAAACATATAAAATAGACAAGTATTTTAACAACGGGATCTTCTTCTTTCTTCCCCTCTGTCGATCTGAAACAAATAGGGTGGTAACAGATTAATAAAGATCAATTAAAATTAATTATATCAAATATTCTCACCTTAATGAACAGCAGTCATTCCAGTAACATTCCGACATGAACATGAACAGTGACATTTCAAAATTTGCAAGTGTGAAAAGCAAACCAAATTTAGGAGGAATACCATAGCAGAAAACTTGTTGTTTCAGTGGAAATCAAAATGTTGCAAGGTGAAGATGAAGACGAAAACAGCAAATCAAGAATATAGTCCAGGAAAGACAACACCATTGTAAATATTGGTGTTTTCAGTATGACCAACAACCTGAACTTTAATTCTCTCGCATTTGTTGGAAGATCTGTGGAAGTGAACAAAAGAAAATATTAATTACACTATCAACTAAAGATCGAAGTAAATATGCACCAAAAAACAAGTTAAATAGCTAAATTACAACATGAAGACGAGATCCCAATTTCATTCATGACATAAAGAAATGTTAAGAGTAATTTAAAGGTAAGAGATGCAATTACAGATGCACGTTAACATCAACTTATGCTGTGAATAATAGATAATTGTAAAAAAGAAAGCCCATAAATGCATCATAACGTCAATTTATGATGTGGGCAATGATTAAGTGTTAGAAGTAAAACCAAAGATGCCAGAGATGGCAAATTATGAAAACTAAATTGAAAATAATGGAATAATAATCGCTTACCTAGTGAATGACTATATGGTGCTTTTTTACTCCTAACTGTAGATATCAGGGAAGTGCCTCCGATAATAGATGTTTATAAAAAGAAAAACAATACCACTGATGGTGAAATAAGTCATATAACAGACTGACAGAGCATTGCATTGCAACCTTACATAGTGTAAATTGGACTGCATACATTTCCTACAATTGTCCAGGTTTCAAATCCTTTTTTGTCTTCTCGTTCATTTAATGTGTTTAAATGGCAACCTGTTAAACTAATTTAATGTTAGTTTCATTTTAAATATTATGTATTAAAATATATTATTAATTAAAATCAATAATTAATTGTTACAATTCAAAACAGTAAAAAATTGCAGTAGTAACTATTGTCAAACAAATGGAATACAAGATTTGGAAAATCACAAACCATTTCGTAAATACAACTTCATAAAATAATTAACCTAGTATTGTATTGTTTTGTCTTACCTATTGTTTATTCTAAGAAATTTGTTTGAGTACCTATTCTTTTTACATGGTTAGTCGTAAAACGGATATAAGAAACTTCATTTTATAGTTGAATTGTAAGATTATATTATATGCAATAAATAAAAATACAATCTTAC